AGAAGATATTTAGGGGAAGAACTTTCAAAAATATCAACTTTAGAACAATTCCTACTATTCTCACTATACCTAAAGCACCATATCTGCTCAGCAGTTAGAACAATCCCCTAACTCCAAAAGATACAGCAAAACTAATTCTAATTGTCATCTCAAGTTTGGACAAACAAGTCATCTTCTCCACAATTTCTACTCTTAAGAAACCATGAGAAGAATATTTAATCTAGAAAAAACAAACAAAGGAGCAGAGCACCCAACACGTCTTAAGCATCAACAATCCAATTGGAGCACAAGAACCCCTGAAAAGTACCAAAGGAAAAATGTTCTCTATATCCATGAATGTTGAGCAGATGAAAAATCTAAGAATTACTGCTAACAGATCATTCTCATGAGGTGCAATACTAGGAAAAAAATTAAATACGATGAGCAAAGAATATCACAACTTTTAAGCATTTCAATATTTTTAAAAACAAACACCACCGCCGCCGCCAAAAATCGGCACCAACAACTATCGCAAGCAACTTCCATCACTACAAGTGACCGCATTTGGTCGCCATCGGTCACCGCTGACCATCACCACCATTGTCACAAAAATCAACTTGATCGAATTCAATAAAAATAAAAATCCCGCATTTGGTCGCCATCGGGCACAAATCTTGAGACACATTTCAATTGAAAACTTCTAAAAAAAATGTGGGATCATCTTAACTCTGATTTCAGAAAACTTATTGATGCGGACATCCAACCATCCATGCCTATCCGAGGAGGAGCTGAAGATCGACGACCGATATCACTTTGTTTTATTTTAGTTTATTAAGTGTATTTTGATTTAATTATGCAATTTCCCTTTTCACCCTCTTGTCCTATGTAAGCCCAAGGGGCAAATGTGTCTTTTAATTTCTTTTGAGGCCTATACATAGAGGTCCCTTCTCATGTATTAAGTATGATGGATTATTAATAAAAAAATTTGCGTTTTGTACTTGGGTTCTTTGGGAAGAATGTTAGTGAAAACCCTATGGGAGGGAGTCGGAGTTTCCACCAGCCGCAGGATGGGTCTGGGCTCGTAGCGTGAAGTCCCTTGGAGAAAGGCAACGTAGTACCCATCAGACGCAAGATGTGTCCAGGCTCGCGGTTGTATCTTTGATATTTAGTTTATTTGCTTTTGTTCCTTCTTATTGCTCTTCGTCGTTATCTTCATCTTCTTTCTCCTCCCCATCTTCGTTTGACCGTCGGATTCTAGCCTCACCCGAAAACCCCTCTTTTCCCCGTCCAACACCCACGGCCAAGCATCCCACCCGACCCCTCCACACCGCCGGCCCAATCTCCCTAGCCGCCGGTTCAAGCCCTCTTCCCCCCATCCAAGTTTGTTTTCCTATTATGATTGAGTTGAATGCGGGAAAGATTTAAAATTCAAAATTAATTAATGCAAATTTCAAAATCTTTCCTAATATAACAAAACTATTTTAGGAAAGTTCTTTTATTAAATCAATTTGAATTTCAAATTCAAATAGGATTTAGTTAATTACTTTCCTAAATCCCCCTAGCCTATTAATTACACCCAAAATCAATTCCCAAATCCTCTCCATCAGCTCTAAACCACCGGCCCCCATATAATTCCTCTTTGGAATTCTTTCCAAAAGCCAAGCCATATTCTGAGAAATAATTCAAGTGTTCCTTCTTACTTCTTGGTAGTAACTCCCTAGGCTCTCACCTCTTTAAATGTTTCCAAAATCAGACATTTTAATTTTGGAATTAAACCCCACCTGCTAATCTAATTCCACCGCCTCCTCTCTAAGCTCTTCCCACGTTTCCTTCCCTTTCCTGGAAACTCCAATTGGCTGCCCACATATTCCAGCATTATTGGCTTGCTGTCCTGCATCCTTGAAGACCCGAGATTGTTGTCCAGGAATTTCTGGACTGTTTTTGGTGACTGTCTTGCCACCAGGAGGCCATGGTGTGCTGTCCAAGAGTTTCATTTTGCTGTTTAGAGAAACCTTTCCAAAGATACTTGCTGCCCACCCGCCAGAGATCATCAAACTGCTGTCCCAAGGCCGCTAGAGGTTGCATGTTGCTGTCTACTTCCTCCCAAGCATATAAACACCTCACCTATTCTAATCCCCCAAATCCATTCACTGATTTGGGAATTGAAATCCATTAAATTTCCCTGTTGTCCCGCCGTCCCCTCTTCTCCTAATTGCTCCAGCAAACTTCTCTAGTCAAGACGCGTGGATTGGAATTTCTTCTCAGCCTTTCTCTTCTCCATTAAGGATTGACTACTCCCTCAACTGTCTCTAGATCCTTGTCCACTAAAATCTGAGAATTCCTCTCAGATTTTTGTTAAAAGTCTGAAACTGTTTTCATATTTTGAGAGAACGAAGTTGGGAGTCTGTTTCCTTTTCAAGTGCAAGAGAAATTTCTTTCTCTTTGCCACCACTCAAGAGGCCTACCAAGTGCTAAGGAGATTTGTTGCCAAGCACCCATGAATGGAAATCCACCTCTCCCTAGCAAAGCCGCTCCCGTTCTACATCACTTATAGCCAAATTGAAGTCTCGACGAGATAAACCCAACACCACCAAAAGCGGTCCAATCCAAACCCAAATGGCACAAATTGATTACTTGATACACATTTGGAAGCTTCAGAATATTAATTGGGTGACCAAACGATATTCAAATATGGCATGCTTATAGTCGAATCAAGCGGCTCAATGAGACAAATCCAAGAAGCCCAAGATCGCTCATTTCTAACATCATTCTGATATTTAAATGCAGGACGAACGGTCTATGATCGAGGGAATAAATATGGGCTGTCCAATGGAACAATATGAATTTGCTCTAGATCTTCTCCATGTTTTATAGAGCATGTTACTCTCAAAATCTATAAATAGACCCCCACGTTCTATATGAGAGGAGCTTTGAAGGCTTAGACCTTAGGCTAGAGATTCAAGATAACTTTGAAGAAGATTGAAAAATCTCGGAGCTTCGCCCGAGAAAAACCGTCAGCGAACCCTCGCCACTGCTGAACATCCACCTTGCCATCATCATCGAACCTCAGGCCTGTCAACACCGCTTGACCTTTGCATCTCACCTCAATCTAACCACCACCATCAGACTTTTCATCTCCTGTCCACTGCCATCAAAACTTTTGTTGACAACTGTCCTTCCAACATCAAGCGCTCATAGTTCATTTATCCTCAGTCACCCATCCAAAATGATCCTACGATCATAGTTTCCTAACTAAGATCCTCAGACCAACGTCACTTGACTAGGGTCCTTCCAACATTCATTGTCTGTCGACTACAATCCTCAAACTACAATTGTCCGACTACGATTCTCAAGCTTTCGTTGACAACTACAACCCCTACGACCTCGGTTGTTCGACTATGGTCTCATCAACCAACTACAGTCCTATCGACCTACTTGCTCGTTGACTAAAGCTCGACCTATAGCACTGATGACATTAATATAAACATTAATATCATTGATAATATTGGATGCATTGATAATACATAAACAGATGATGCATATAAATAGATAAAATAAATTCCTTTAATGATTTATGAATGATTTCTGCACCGTTGTTTTAGCGATTTATTTAATTTTATGTCAACTATTGGTTTTTAGATTCATTGTAATGATTCTCTGCTTTTATTATTGATCATTTTAAATTTTATTGATAATATTTGGTCATTAATTACATTGACTGCTACTGATTATATTAGACTGAGAGTATCATATTGATTTTTTAGTCCTTACATTGAAAGCTTTAGTGAGTTTTGAATTACTAATAGGCTTTTGAGCTAATTATGTGGATTTTAAGAATTTCATATCAGATAAAGGTTTATGACCAGTTAAAGTGAGAATGTTAGAGATCCCCAAGTTTTCTTTCTATTTTGGTTATGTATTTTCTTTTATTCATTTGTAGAGTAATCTCCTAGCTAGTGTAAAAAACATTTTGGGTGAATAAATAATAAAATATCTTGATGTATATGATTTTAGTTGCTTTTGTTGGTTATTATTTATATTGATGATTTATAGAAGTTAGAATATATTCTTAAAAATATAAATAGACAATTCTTCCAAATTTGATTTTGGGGCGTTACACGGGCAACACCTTGGTCTACCTGGCATAAACAAGGGGTCAGCCCTTGTGCTAGGCCGGCTAGACCGGTCCTTTTGAGGACCGGTCTAACATAACTCTATTAACACAATTTATCCTAGTATTGACAACAAGCCCATTCGAAAGCACAATGAGCGTGCACACTTAGACAAAACAAGCAATAAATTCATAGCTTCTGAAAAGTATAGAAAAAAGCTTAAGGATGGCACATGGTTTTCACATATACAATGAAATATAGGTTGACTTAAAAAACGTGCAAATCTTACACAGGAGAACTGTTAGAGTACAGCCACATCAAAAAAAAAAAAAAAAAACAGCATTACTTATAGCAAGGCAAGTGGATAAAATAGAACATCACGAGAATGAAATGGAATTTTAGTAATGATCGATATCACCATAAAAGTTAAATATTTTACAGCCAGGAAGAATAATAACTATGCAGCTGTTACAGACGGGAGCATCATGTAATAAAAAAAGCTAGCAAAATTTAATTGAGCTCTTTTATTTCCTAAAAAGATTGTGGTTTTCTGATGTTCTAAAGAATAAATACCGCATGAATGGCAAAGGTTAAAGCTTTGTTCCAGAATTAGCAACCTTCCTCAACTATAGATTACACCAACTTTGGTCTTCTGGACTGTTTCTTAAACACTCATAGAACCTAATATCAGCGTCAGTCTACAAAACAAAGTGACATCATAGCAAACTTTCTCAGCAAATACACAACAAAGGCCAATTAAAATTTGAGAAATTTTTTTTATAAAAATCTCCTCCAAGTGAAAGTCTGCATAATAAAATTTCAAGAAGTACTAGTAAATTTCAAGAAGCAACTCTAAATCTCAAAATCAACCAACAGACCGTTTTAGATCGATAATTTTCTCAAAATATCTGCAACAAAATTCTTCAGGTAAACATCACATTAATAAAAAATAGTCTTGTTGAGAAAAAAAAACCAAGTAGAACTGCATAGGTCCCGCTAATCAATTCGAGAGGCACAAACCAGGTAGAACTGTTCATAAAAAGCCACAATAACAACATGATGAACTAAGAATAGTTTGATACACATCACAATAAGTAAAGACTGAAGTGCAGATAAAACAGACAAAACCATACATCCTAAAACAGTCGTACCAAAACCAAATCAAAAGGTATTCCTCAGAACTGTTGCACCGCAAGCTCGACGCCAATAAGATTCAAAGTCACCCAATAGTAAACCAGACGAGTAAGCACGTTCTCGACATGGAACTAAACAAAACGAGAAAAAATTAGCAAGAGAACCAAAAAAAAAAAAAAAAACCATTTAAAAACCTTAAAAATCAATCAAAATTTTATCAATTTCAATATATCAAAACAGTAAAAAGGAATTCACCTAATGAAGTCCATATCCACTCATAGGTCCCATGGTAGACCTCTGCAGTCCAGCCTGCGTTAAGTTACTAGGCTGGTAAGATGAAGAACCAACACCAGCAACCTGCTGTGTCCCTGGTGGTGGAGTCCCTTGAAAACCAGGAGCCCCCTGGAATCCTGGAGGCCCCTGGAAGCCAGGAGGCCCCTGAAACCCTACATTTTGATAACCAGAACTCCCCAGGGCATAATTTGCTACAGCAGCCTGCTGCTGTGGAATTGCTGCCTGGTTAACTGCAGATGGGGAAACTCCAGTACCCAAAGCTCCCACAAGAGCAGGGTTTAAGGATGCAAGCATTGCAGGATTGATACCAAAGGCAGCTGGGTTCTGACCAGCAGCCGCAAGCATTGCAAGTACTGCAGCATTCATCGGCATCCCCTGCCCAATAAGACCTTGCCCAAACATTGCAGCCTGCTGCGCCAGCCCCATGTCTGATGGGGTAAACTGACCACCATAAGCAGGCGCATTAAAACTGCCCATGTTCACTGCAGGATTAGACGGGGCTGCATTGGTACCACTAGCATTATTGATAGCTGTCGATGCCCTACTCTTGTTGCTATCCGTTGCCTTTTGACAAACCAGATTATACCCCTCAAAGTTCTTAATAGGCTCTTCTAAGGCCTTTCTCGCTCCCTCGACAGATCTGAAGACGAAAAGCGCAAAGCCCTTGGCCTTCCCAGTCTGGCGATCGAATCCAATCGGCCCTTCTTCAATCTCTCCATATTGAGAAAAAAACGCGTGAAGACGGCGGCCATCAATGTCTCCGTGGAGATTGCCAACATAGATCTTTCGAGGAAGGTTATCGCTGGGGTTAAGATTAGGACTATGGTTGCTCCTAGTGTTACGATTAACGTTCTGAGAAGGGCCCGCCGAGGCAAGCTGACAGGTGGTCATGCGGTTGTCGATGAGCTTATTGGGATGGCGTAGAGCGCGGCGAGCGGAAGAACGTTCTCGGAAGAGTACGAAACCGTACCCTTTGGAGCGTCCCGTAGCGCGGTCAGCAACAACGCGGCACTCTTCGATTTCACCATAGCGAGCATAAGCTGCGCGGAGGCTATCGGAGGTGGTTTCCCAACCGAGGCTGTGGATGAAAAGCTTTCGATGAGCAGGATCAAAGTCAGTTAGGGCACGGATCGAGGCAAGAGTGACGGGGTCCCGAGCCGCGGCGGAGACGAGTAGTGAAGTGAGTTGGTCGGTGTCTAGGGGTGCTAGGAGTTTGCGGACGTCTTCTTCCTCATCTTCGTATTCAGGATCGGAGTCTGAAGCAGGGTCGCCGGAATCATCGTCAGGCTGGCGGACGTATGCGACAACGGGGTGGTGAGGCTTCACATCGGTGTCGTGGTTGGGAATGGAGAGATGTTCGGCGTCTTGGTCGGCCTTCCGCTTCTTGGCAGAAGTCATTAGGAGCGGCGAGTGAAGAGAAAAGACCGTAGCACGCGTAGACGGATCGAGGTTTTGGTACTTTGGTTTAGGGTTTTGTGGTCTAATAGTGATCCCAAGTAGATGAAAAAAAAAACATAATGATGTAATTATTTTGAGAAAATTAAATTATATATAAATCATTTCTTAGGAAAGGCTATTTGGTTGAATTATATGAGTGTTAAAGTATTTCAAATATAGAAATTTTAAAAATTATGATATTTCGGCGAAACAAATAGCCCCTTATTTTTTAAAATGGCAAAATTTTTAAGAATTGATATATCATCAAAAAATTATCTTGGTCAGGCACGAATCTCGAGGCAAAATCAAGTCAGAGGTTTCAAAAATTAAATCTGGGGTCGCCTGAACTCCGATTTCAACAACTTACAGTCGAACTGATCGTCTCGAAAATACGAAACCAACGACACCAAATTCAACTTAATCCGAGCCCAAATGAGTTCAAATCAAGGACCCGAAGCACTGTTAGAAAGTTCGAACCACAGTTTGAGTTACCAAACGGTTTCCAAACATGACGTATTTATAATCAAATCGAGTGGCTCGACGAGACAAATCCAATGAGCCCAAGATCGCCAAATTCCAACATGATTAAAACCTTCAAATGTCTGGCGAACAGTCTACGATCAAGGGATTCAATATCTGCCGCCCATTCAAACCACTCATGATTCGCCCCGGATCTCTCACCTATTTATAGGCCATGCCACTCCAGAAATCTATAAATAGACTCATCATTTCTCTTGTGAGGGGGGCCAAGCAAAAAGAAGATAAAAAAGAAGAGAAAGATTGGAGGAAAGAAACTCCTCCACGACCACCGTCGGAATTCTGTATGACGCCCGAGTGACGCCATAATTCTGCCTGACGCCCGAGTGACGACAGAATTCTGCCCGACGCTCAAGTGATGTCGGAATTCTGCCAAAGTAACGCCGGAGTTTCACCCGAACTCCAAGTGACGCCGGAATTCCGCTCGACCTCCAAATGACGCCGAAATTCCGCCTGACCTCTAAGTGACGCTGGAGTTTCACCCGAACTCCAAGTGACGTCGGAGTTCTCCTCAGACTCCAACTGACGCCGAACCTCCGCACGTCGCCTAGTTTCTACCCGGCGTCAGACTTCTACCGGTTGTCGGACTTTCACTGGACTTCTATCCAAAGATGAATTTTTTTTCCATTATTGGACTTCGACCTGACTACAGTCTTTCTGACCTCCGTCACCCGCAAACAACGGTTCTTTCGACTTACGTCGTCCATCGACTACAGTCCTTCAGACCAAACAAACACATTACCTGAGATTCTTTGTAACTCTCATTATGTAATGTACTATATAATATGTACATTAAGTTTAAGGCCTTCCCCCAAGGAACGCCTCATTTGTAATCAACTATAAATACTAGTGGATTCATTCAAATAGGGCTAGTAATCAACGATAAATACTAGTGGATTCATTCAAATAGGGCTAGGCCCCGTGGTTTTTCCTTCTTTTCAGGGGTTTTCCACGTAAAAATCTTGATGTCTCATAAATGCTAGATCTTCTCTCCTATCGATTGCGTGCCGAATTTTCGTACAATGCTAAGACGTTAAATATTATATTTCTCTACCACCGTGAATACTCCAGGACGCAACAAAAATATTCTAAAATTATAACTCAAAAAAGATTGAATGAAACGATAATGAAAAAGTTGGCTACTTGAAGTAGTTAGACCTTAATGTTGTAGTGCACAATATTAATGTACACAAAATTAAGTTAGAAGTTTAACAGTTTTTTTATCTTATTTTGAAATTCTTGTAATAAAATTTAATTGGTTAGTCATATACTAAGTTTATCGTAAGATCTTGTCCACTCCATTTTCATCTCTTATGAGAATTGATAAGTCATAAAAAAATAAAAACAAAAAAATTTAAAAATTTAATAAAATTTTTTTTTTTAAAAAAAAAAGAGAATTGATACGTCACAAAAAAAATCACATAAATACATGATGAAATTGAAAACTTTAAGAAATTAAATTTAGGAACATCCCAATTATGATTTCAACAAATTTCAAGTCCAATAAAGTGCCTCAAAAAAATGAACCAAACAACACTATAAATGGCAGATCCGAGCCCAAATGACCCTTAAAACAGGGTTTAAAATATGATGTTATTTAATTGATGGGACAAATAACTTTCAAATCTTTCAGTTTTATAATCAAATCAAGTATCTTGACGAAAAAACTCCAACGAGGTTAAACGTCACTAAAAATCACTTTGATTAATCACGAATCTTGAGGCATATTCGAGGTTGAAATTGAAACAATATTGATACTAAAAAACTATGCGATTGTCATGACTTTTTACTTGTTTAGTATAACAACTGAAATAAATGTTATTGAGACATTGTTTATATTACTGCACGGACTTATTATTAACTTTATTAATAATTTATTAATACAAAATGCATGATATATTTATTGAGCGCGTGATATACAAGATATATTAAGCATATGATTAAGATGTTGATTTAATACTGATATAGAATAATTGGATATCATGTGTGCATTACTACATTGATTTGATTTCAACAATCTTTATTGATGTTTTAATTTGATGTTTTATCTAATTTATGTAATGATTGGTATTATGGATACGATGATTGTTTTATAGATTTGACACTCATATTGATTTACTATTTTACTTGCTTCTATACTGTAGTATTTTACTGTTTATAAAATCTACTACTACTGCATGTGAATTTTATCGTTTCTACACTGATTCAATGATCATACGAATGTAACTACTATGATTTGATTGTTACCGTCATATTACTTCTTTGTCGTGCTTTGGATTCAATTATAGGTTTTGATGACTTGCTGGATTTTTAGCTCATTATATATGTTAAATATTTTAAGGTCAGGGCAAACGATCAAAAGTGTGAGACTAGTTTGGATTCTTCTTGTTCAGTTATAAATGGCAGATCCGAGCCCAAATGACCCTTACAACAGGGTTTAAAATATGATGTTATTTAATTGATGGGACAAATAACTTTCAAATCTTTCAGGTTTTTAATCAAATCGAGTATCTTGACGAAAAAACTCCAACGAGGTTATACGTCACTAAAAATTACTTTGATTAATCACGAATCTTTAGGCATATTCGAGGTTAAAATTGATACAATATTGATACTGAAAAACTTTGTGATAGTAATGACTTTTTACTTGTTTAGTATAACAACTGAAATGAATGTTATTGAGACATTGTTTATATTACTGCACGGACTTATTATTAACTTTATTAATAATTTATTAATACAAAATGCATGATATATTTATTGAGCACGTGATATACAAGATATATTAAGCATATGATTAAGATATTGATTTAATATTGATATAGAATAATTGGATAGCATGTGTGCATTACTACATTGATTTGATTTCAACAATCTTTATTGATGTTTTAATTTGATGTTTTATCTAATTTATGTAATGATTGGTATTATGGATACGATGATTGTTTTATAGATTTGACACTCATATTGATTTACTATTTTACTTGCTTCTATACCGTAGTATTTTAATGTTTATAAAATCTACTACTACTGCATGTGAATTTTATCATTTATACACTGATTCAATGATCATACGAATGTAACTACTATGATTTGATCGTTAACGTCATATTACTTCTTTGTCGTGTTTTGGATTCAATTATAGGTTTTGATGACTTGCTGGATTTTTAGCTCATTATATATGTTAAATATTTTAAGGTCAGGGCAAACGATCAAAAGTGTGAGACTAGTTTGGATTCTTCTTGTTCAGTTATTTTTTTGTACTCATAACATAGTAGTTGTGATATGATTATATAGATCTTGAGTTGTGTATATGATTTTTTGGAATTAAATAAAGATGTGTATATTGATATTTTGAATTATAAAAGCTAATTTTTTGTTATTTATTATTGATATATGGAATTAAATAGTTACAGTTGTTATTTATTAAAAGATAAATGAATAATTCTTCCATATTAGATTCTAGGGCATCACATACAATCCCTTCGACCATTGTTGCTTGCCGAGTACAGTCCCTTCGACCACTATTGCCCAGTAACTATGGTCCCTGTGGCTTCCATCACCCACAGACTATGGTCTCATCGACCTACAACCTCCTTCTCCTGCTAACTATGGTCCCTCCAACCTCCATCATGCACTGACTATGGTCCATCTAGCCTTTGTTGCCCGTGGCTATAGTCCCTCCGCCTTTGATCTCCTCATCCAGTCGATTACGACCGCTCCGACCTCCATCACCCGCCAACTAAGATCCCTCTTATAACCTCTGACACCCATCTCCTGCTGATTATGATCCCTCTAACCTTCGATCTCCTCCTGTCAAGTACAATCCCTCTGACCTTTGTCGCCAGTTGACTATGATCCATTTGACCTCCATCACTTACCAACTATAGTTCCTCTAACCTTCTATATCGTTCTCTAGCCGACTATAGCCCCTCCGACCTTCGTCACCTACCGACGATGATCCATCTGACCTCCGACGTCCATCTCCTGCTTATTATGATCCCAATAGTAAATTTGTATATTAAAATATTTGAATCCACTTTTCCGTTTCACGTAACTCATTTTAGCAGTTGGCTTAGAGAGATAATGAGAATGATTTTTGTAAGAGAAATTTCATTTTCTACTTCCAGCTCAATTTTGAAAGTTATCTAGTTTGAGATAGGTTGCACTTTGTCTATCTTAGTTTTCAAAATGCAGAAAATTTTCAATATTCTGATTTATTTTATAATTCCATTAGCGAAAAATAAAGATTCATTTATATCCATACAATTTTCACCGTGTTACTTTTCATATGTCATAAATATAATTATTCTGAACATTTAAATATTTTCAAGAGAATTTAACACTAAGGCTTTTGAAATGTGCATATTTTTAATCATCCAAAAAATAATATAGAACCCAAAAAATAATGCTATAGTGCAATTAATGTCATAAAATATTATTCTAAATAATCCCTAGTAATTCAATTATATTATGAAATAGTTAATTTTTATATAGTAGCATGTTGTGTTGTCTATCATTATAACTCTATGTGAAATTGTGAAATGAGTTTATTTATAATTTTATTATTACAATGCAATGACTTATGTGATTATGAGATTTAGTTATGTGACGTTGAGAAAGTTTTGCTGTGTCATGAAAGTTATGGTCCTGAATGCGCAAAGAGTCATAAGAGCTTGAAATTTTTGATGTATGGCATGCTTTGAAATTATGATTAAATATATTTTATTTTATTCAATTATGATTAGAGTAGAAAATGGTTAAATTATGATTAAATATATTTTATTTGATTCAAGACGCCAACGCACTGTCATCTATGGAACGTTTGCACCTTGTAAATGGTCTGAATTTGTAATTTTATTCCACTAATATTTTCAAAAAAATAATGAATATTTTCAAATGACACAAACTTTAACATCAAAAAATAAGAGTTCAAATGATACATCATAATCTGTTAAAGCAAGTTGATTGATTAGGATAAATTTCTAAAAATCTAGCAGTAAATGGTTTAAGATATTCACCGCCATTGCTGAACAGAAAACCTTAAGTACATCAATCAAATCACAAATAATTTATAAGCCTCCGAAGTACTATATTAAAAAAAACTCATCAAGATTGGAAGGCAAATTTTACCAAACAATAATTACTTAACTGATAGCAAAATTAAGTGAGATATACAAGAAATTATTAAGATAAATATCCAACAAAACTAAACAAAGGACAAATGAATATTAAGAAAATTAAAAATAAACTGGTAGGTTGTATAAATACAAATAATAATAGAAAAATTCACAAAATAGATTTAAAAACACTGCAACACTAACAATAATAGAGAGCGACTATTCATTAAACAAGTAAAAAAGGACATCCACTGACTACGACAAATTTTTTTGGGTACATTTAGGCCATTTAAGATAAACTCATACAGAAATACTCGAACCTTAGACCTCTTAGTTGGAAGCCTTAGCTCACAACCAATAGGCCAAAGAGCCAAAGAGAGCTGTATATGACTACGTCAATCACTCTCATTTCCACTCAAATTCCATCCATTAAAGACAAAAGTTGCGCAACATCCATTCACAGTTCAGCGTGATTTTTAGCCCTAAAACAACGGCAGATAAAAAGTCTATAAACAAGAGATATAGGGTCCATTTCCAGATCCTGCAGGAATGGATGAGAGGCTTGAAGGCCCTCTCAATCCCCACCAACCTGCCGCTTCCAGGAGTCCTCTACTATCAGTTCGTCAACTCCCCAATCTTCATAACTGTCACATTGTCATTATTATTCACTGACGTTAATGTTAATGAATCGATAGCCATTATTTAAGCATTTTAGTTTCTTTTCCTATTTTCACAATCGAATTCCTAGCAGCAGCAATAGAGAACAGAATACAGTAACAAAGAAAGCATCCGAGGATATTTACCTCCCATCAGGAAGATACCTTCGAATGGTGAAGGGTATCTTGCGCTCTCGAAGCTCTTTCATCGCAATCTAAAATAGCAAAACAAGGCAGACGTCAGCGAAGCAGCTGGAGATTTGAGTACAAAAAATCAAATATATACAAAACAATTCCACTCAGAACAATGAAAAATTAATGATTTATTGCCAAAGAAGGAAGAATGAAGATACATGCTCAAAATACCAGGTGCATAAATTTCCGAATGCAGTTAAAAAAAAAAAGTCATAGAATGGGTCCTGATGGGAGAGCTTGAAGCCCATAGACCTCAACAGCGAAAACTCGCCCAAGGGTAATTGTTATCAACTCGGTAAAGTAATTGCAAGGGAATCATCACTTAGTAAAACACTTCTATTGGCAGGTTAACTTGGTAAGCTGGAACCTGATGGCAAGAATGGAGAGTATAGAGCGAGTAGAGAGAGCAGAGAAGAAAACTAGAGATCACAAACAAGCAGAATATTCGCTTCAGAGAAGAGTATAGGGTTCAAGATTCAAGATTAGAATCCACAGGTTCAGGATTCAAGTCCCATAAGCTTGCTCGTTAATAAGGTCAGGCATGACACAAACAAATTTGGACTACCAACAAATAGCTAAGGCGACAGAACTGACCGAGCTTCCATCAACAATTATGTCCCTCCACTTTATTCGCTATTGCAACCAATTACTATTATAAATTGATATTTCAAGCATCACAACTAACAACTTTTAAGAAAACTAGTGACAACTTTTTACAAATCTTTGATAAGCATTTAGGTCCTAAAAGTTTCCTTGTAAATGAAAAAGGACAAGCACTACTCTCAAAATTGAGTGGGGACCAATGTACTAAACAATGGCGTCATTATAGTGTATTGTGAGGGTTTGCATTCACAACATTAGGGACTGATCTTCAAGTCCTTTTATCGGAACATAATGGACTCAATTTAAAGCTTACCTTCCATCTTTGTCCATGTCAGATTAACATTATCACCATCAGCGTTATCCCAACTAATTGCAGATGGCCTTATGAATTCCCATTCTCATTCATCAATTCTGTCAAAATCCGATCTCTTTCTCTCAAGTACCGCTCCGCTTATGGCATCGGTACGTTGTCATGCCCATAATATATCAGATGAGATGGATCCCTCCCATATAAGATTTTAAATGGCGTTGCCCTGGTTGTTGTATGAAATGAAGTGTTGTACAAATATCCCGCCTAGGCAAACCACTTTGCCCACATCTTTGGTGTATCTGATACAAAGCAACAAAAATAAATCTCCACATTGCAATTTACCACCTCCGTCTGGCCATCTGTCTAGGGGTGGTAAGCTAGGTTTCGCTTCAGGATAGTCCCCCGAATCTTAAATAACTCCCTCCATAAGTGGCTTAGAAAGCCCCTGTCTCAATCGAACACAATGGTCTTAGGTATGACATGCAAATAGACTATCTCTTTAATAAATGCGGCTGCCACTAACACTGTGGTGTATGGGAGGCGAAAGGCTTATGAAATTAATATATTTGCTCAATTTGTCCACCACCACCAGAATCACAGTGAACCCTTCTGATCTAGGCAATTCTTCAATGATATCCATAGTCACATCTTCCCACACTCGGGTAATGCTAAAGGTTGTAGAAGATCACATGGAGCCATTGCTAGGTAGTTGTGTCTTTGGAACACATCACAACTGGCAACCAACTCCTCTACATCCTTTCACATGCCCACCCAATATAGCTCCGCTGCTAGTCTATGATATAGCTTTTGAACTCCTGAATGTCCCCCAATAGTTGAGCAACGAAACTCCTACAACAAGTGAGGGATGTGTGGTGATGTGCTAAATAACACAAAAGTCAAGGGTATAACAACTTCTGACCCATTAAGGAGTAACCTGAATGGCCATCCTTGTCCTGCAATAAGTCTCCTTTAATCTTACTCAGCTCCTCAAGCTCGACAACAAGTTATTCACCCCACCAAGTCATCTCAATGAATGCCTCCTCTACTAACCCACCAACAAATCTGCCTCAAGCTAGGCAGCATGCTCTCTCTGTCGACACCCAAGTTGTCATCTTTTGGTAGTCCAACTCCTTTGTTGCCTCCTTAGTCATCGTTATGGCGAAGTACAAGAATCGTCTCAGAATAGACAACCCAAATAAGACATGTATGAGCAAGTTGTTCGTGACAGGTTGTAGCCACCACCAAGTCATCGATGTCCATGTTAGAGTAAACAATGCTCACAATCACCGAGCATACATGATCATCATTGTCAACTAGAAATAAACACTGATGTTGAGATGTTGAGTTCTTGAGCACAATTGCATCCATGATCCTGCTCCACTAGACCAACAGAATGTATCGGTCATTGAACCGAATGTGGGTCGTAGTTCTCTCTGCCCTCCCTATTTTCTTCTACTTGGTGCGAAAGATTAATCACCGCTTGCGATAGGAGGTTCACTAGAAACCCTCCTCTCCGACACTATTTTCCCCAACAACAACTCCCAAGAACCCATCCCAGAATGGTTTAAGTAAAGAACAATCAACATTTTATTATCAGCATTTAGTATATGTGATTCGGAGGAGTAAATATATTGTTAACTGCATTTCAACATTCTGGGTTTCAATGCTCATTGGGATGGTATAAACATAGCATTTAACTATAAACCACCACAATATAGAGTAGGGGTGTCAATTTCGGGTCACGGGTCGGGTTCAGGTCGAACCCGGAACTAACCCGGGTTCAAACGGATCAACCCTAACCCGACCCGGGTAGACAAACGGGTCGGAAAACCGAACCCGGACCCGACCCGGCGGGTTAACGGGTTGACCTGACCAAACCCGGTTGGCTGCTGGTATAAACATAGCATTTAACTATAAACCACCACAATATAGAATAAACTTGCCAAAACACAACTGACATCTAATCAATATAACTTTTTATAATAATTATTAATAGTCAAATCAGTAGAACTTAGAAGTTATTAAAAAAGCACCTGATTAATGGGCATAAATGAATATAACTTGCAAACATTTCCAAGAATGCTCAACTGGCCCAAACAAAACCAGGTTAAAAAAATGCACAAACGTATGTCATTTTGAAAACTCCATCAATATCTCATTAAATTATCAGTAAGAAAATCAACATGATTATGAATGCATTGAAGAAAATTCTTAATAAGAAAAAAGATATCCATGTTATACCTCCAGAGGATCAGTTTCACCTTCAAGCTCAACCATTACAGGCGCATTCATGCTGTTGGCCAAACAAAATTGGATAAAAAAAATTGCACAAGCTACAAAACAGGGATCTAGGCATCTAGCAAAAGAAAAGTTTAAAAGAAAGACCTGATCTGAAGAGCACGTGTTCCTAATATCCTTGCACGCTCATACTTTGTCATGTACTTGGATGTTTTCCTAGGATGCTCAACTGGTTCTTGCTCCTTTTCTTCATTTTCAGCACCAATAATATCATCTGGAACATCATCATTGTTTTCTTCCTCTACCTCAGCACCTTCCTGCATGTACTTAATCAACTTGATATCGTTGCCTCTTCAGCAAGCAAATAAAAGGGATATGAACCTAAGAAATAAGTAGTTAACATATACCTCAATTTCAGGTTCAGGTGGCTCATCCTCATACCTGTAGGAAATCATTTATAGTGCATGCAAGTAAAAAATAAAAGAATAAGAAGGATGACTCAAATAGATAATAGTGTTTCCAAATGTTTTCAGATAACTCTAATCACAATAATTCAAATCAATAACGTTCAAACAACAATATGGCCAACAATAGATAACAGTTAGTACCAAAGGATAAACGAAACCAACCTCAGATTTTGGATAAAGATGATGACTAAGAAGAGAATGGGAACGCCAACTAAACATTATAGTCCAAATGCTAATCTAGAAAAAATGTTTTCATGAAAATTACGAAAAATACATCAAAAATAAGAAAAAGGACGGTTCCGTGTACCACAAAAAATTTCTTTATTTACAAAATCACCAACTAGTTACTTCTATTTATCAAAAACCATTCAAATCTCAAATAGTGCATTCAAACTTTTGCTTTTACTCGCAATGATTTGTTAAATTCTTAAGGATTTGGTAGTGTCACGTGCAAATGTAGATTTATTGGCTGATTTTAAACAGTTAGGTAATAACTTCGTAAATAAGGAAATTTTTTAGGATAGGCACATAAAAAATACTATTAAGAATGTGCAGCAGAACAATAATTGATTGAGTTATAAACAAACAACGAATAAATGTTGTAGGAATAAAACAAATTGACAAAAAATGCTTTCAGCATGCACAAAAGAGAAACATCGAAGTATTAGAGTGATACAATAGGTGTTCAAGCAACCCGTCCAAATCATTTTATTAAATAAGATGCAAAACAAGAAGCAGCACCAAAATAAATGAGTATTGCGGGTTTATAAAGACGTCTAATATAGACTGAAGAGACTAAAGATTACAATAACAATGACGCCCATCCGTGCTTGCCTCACTGGGGTTTGAGGCATCACTACCAAAAGCTTCCCTAGAAACTATGGTTCCCAAATGAGTACCGCTACACCCCAAAGAAATTCAAACAAAAAATCAAATTGGAACCCCACTTTATTTACTAGGCACGATAAAAATGGAAGACAGTGCATTAAACTTTTGCTTTGGAAGTGTGTGATTGGAACATCCAAGCCAAGGGACCCCTTTTGTAAGTGTGGGGGGTTCACCCTTCCGACATATGAACACAGAACACCCCATGAACATCATATAATGAATCCATCCAAAATTTACCTATATTAAATTATATCGTTAAAGTATAAATCAAAGTAAAAAAAAACCTATACAACAATAAGAACAACGAGTTGAACAATTAAAATGTAACCTCCACAAATATGTAAACAAAAGAAACTGTGTTTATGGACGCTTCCCATAATTGCTAGATAGAAGTTTAAAGAAAATCTAATCCTAGAGTTGATTTTGCACGTATGCATACTTACGAATAAGATGGAAGAGCAGGTTACGCACATAGAAATGTTAATGATTTTCCTTAATAATAATTTCACAATTCACATGGAACTATGGAAGATGTGCTAAAAAAGGAGGGGTGACAAGAAAGGAAATATTAAAAATTACTCGTAGAACATGAAGGTGACTTGGTTGTAAGGAAAACCTAGACAAAAAGCTAAAGAAAATATAAACATGGAGGTGATCTTATATGAAAATGAATGCCGGAGAAATGGTGAAAATATAAGTTGGAAGAAGGGGTCTTGTACCACGGAATGTGATAATTTTGTTCCGGTTCAGCCCAACCCGGCCCAGGTGAGGCTGGTTCAAACCTACATGAGGCGGGCTAAGCCGCCTTCTCTAAATCCCACCGCCTAAGCATGTGGGCCCCACCTCCTTGGGCGGCAGAGAGAGAGAGAGGACGGTTTAAGCATGAGGAAGGCAATTTAAAATTAATTTATATTAGGAAGTTTTTTATTAGTAAAGATTGTATTTAAAGAACATGAGAGGCTAGGGTTAGGACATGCATGATTTGGTGTTGTTTTCTAGGAGTCTTCTTGGTGTCTTGGGCTCTAGATCCAAAATCTAGAGATTGGGAGAGACGATTCTCCTCTCAAATTGAGGATCAATTGTATCTTGCTTGGAGTTTGTATTGCTTGCTTCTACTATTGCAATCTATCGTCTTAAATTGAATTCCTCCATATTTTATTGTTTTTCTCGCTGTTTGGCCAATTATTGCTAGGGTTGCTTGCGAACTCAAGTAATTCCTCTTGGATTACTTGCGAACTCATGTAATTCCTCTTGGATTACTTGCGAACTCATGTATTTCCTATCAAATTGGTATCAGAGCAAGTCTTGGGATCGTTGGTGGGCTGATTTTAGTGAATTTCAGCGGCTGATTTTTGGTCGGGGAAGGAGAAAGTTGTTGTTTTTGTGACCCAAATTCAAAAAATTTTAATCTACAAAGATCAGTATAGGGATGGCTGCCAAGAAAGTAGATACGCTGGAAGAAAGACTTGAAGGGGAGATGAACAAAATCAAGACAACGGTGGAGGAAAGGATTTCCTTGGGACATGATGAAGAAAATGTTGGAAATCCAAAACAAAACGGCGGCTTCTGTGGCAAAAGGGGCGCAAGGGAAAAACACGAATTCTGAAATTCATGGGAAGGAAGATGAGGTGGAGATCATGGAGGGAGAAAGAAGGAAACCCTATCTAGAGCCTCTCCAGAGGGAGGATAAAGGAGGTAGGTATGGGGAAAGACATGGGTATGGAGGGGCGGAGCAAAGAGGTGCTGATTGGGAACACCATGAGGGACATTTTGGTCGCCGAGGTGTTGAATTTGAAGGAGATGGGAATTCAAAGGGGGTTTGGATTATGACAGAGCAAGGGAAGAAAGGGAGATATGGGGAGGGACAAGCACTTGGGAAATGGAGAGCTATGGAGGAGGACTAAGGGAAAATTGGGGAGATCATAAAGTAAGAAAGCTGAAGATGCCCATATTCGAAGGGGATGATGTGTATGGGTGGACTTATAAGGTGGAGAGGTACTACGCCGTAAATGGGCTCACGGAGGAGGAGGAGGAGCTAACAGCGGTAGGCTTATGTTTGCAGGGTAAGGCGCTGTTATGGTACCAGTGGAGAGACTAGAGGAGACCCATAAAGAGCTGGGGAGAATTCAAGAAATGTATAATAGAGCGTTTCCAAACCGATCCGGGAGGAGATTTCTATGAGCAGCTCTTTGCTCTTGTACAAGAGGGATTCGTAGCAGACTACCATGAGCAGTTTGAGCACCTGGCCAATAGGGTGAAGCGATTATGAGATATTGTTTTGGAGGAGAACTTCATGGAAAGGCTGAAGGCAGAGATCAGAGCGACAGTGAAAGCCTTGATGCCTCGTGACTTGGGGGAGGCAATAAAGTTGGCACAGCTAGTTGAAAATCAGAGAAATCTAGAGAGGAGAGCCAGGAGAAGCAGCTTAGGAGGTACTTACAGGATGACAAACACTCACTTAGCACCTAAGGGTCCAGCAGCAGGAGGATTTCGGGAGACTACTAGAGAAAAGACAGGAGGGAGTGGGGGAAACTTCAAAAGGCTGACAAAGAAGGAGATGCAGGAGAAGAGGATAAAGGGGTTGTGTTTTAGATGTGATGAGAAGTATATGCCAGGGCATAGGTGTAAGGACCAAACTTTTCAGGTTCTCACCGTTTATGATAACGAGGAAACTGAGGGAGGTGAAGGAGGGTTAGAGGAGATGGAGGAGAAGCTACATATGGATCTGGACGGGATTTCCCTGAACTCGGTGGTAGAATTCACTACGAATCATTCCATGAAGGTAAAGGAGGAGATAGAGGATAGGGAGGTGGTGATGTTGATTAATAGTGGGGCTACCCACAATTTCATTTTCACTCAAGTCGTCGACCAATTGGGAGTGAGATTGGTGGATACTGGTTGTTAATAGGTGATGATGGATACTGGGAAGGTGGAGAAAGGCCGGGGAATCTGTAGATGAGTGCTACTGACTGTCCAGGGTATTCAAGTGAGGGAAGATTTTCTTCCGTTGAACTTAAAGAGCACAAATATCATTCTGAGGATGAAGTGGCTGCAGACCTTGTGAGACGCCAAGGTTAATTTGGGGGCACTCACTATGGAGTTGATGGTCGATAGGAGGAAGGTGGTGATAAGAGGAGATGCAAAGCTATCCAAATCCATGGTTTCTCTTAAATCCATGGTTTCTCTTAAATCCATGGTAATGAGTATACATGAGGTGGGTGGAGGATATTTAGTAGAGCTGCACAGTTTGGAGGGAGCTAGATCGAAGGAGATAGATGACATACCCCTCTCTATACAGTCATTGATTGAGCAATTTTAGGAGGTGTTTCAACCACCTCAGGGATTGCCACCACCGAGGGAGCAGGAGCACGCCATCTCCTTGAGGGAAGGAGTGGGTGGCACCCATCAACATCAGGCCCTACCAATATCCCCAATTTCAAAAGAATGGAATTGAGAAACTAATCCGGGAGATGCTAGAGACGAGGATTATCAGGTCGAGTGTGAGTCCCTTCTCTAGTCCAGTCCTACTAGTCAAGAAGAATGATGGAAGTTGACAATTTTGTGTGGACTATAGAGCTTTGAACAAGGTGACAGTGCCAAATAAGTTTACTATTCCTGTGATTGATGAGCATTTGAATGAAATGAATGGGGCGGTGATGTTCTTCAAACTGAATTTGATGTCTGGATACCACCAAATCATAATGAGGAAGGCATATATCTCCAAGACAGCTTTCAGGACACACGAGGAGCATTATGAGTTTTTGGTAATGTTGTTTGGGATTACCAATGCCCCTACTACTTTCCAGTCACTGATGAACAGGTATTCAAGCAGTACCTCTGAAAGTTTATCTTGTATTTTTTAATGACATACTAGTGTACAACAAAACTGAGGGAGATATCTCGAGCACTTGAAGATGGTCTTAAGAGTCCTACAGGGACATCAATTAAAGGCCAATCTAAAAAAGTGATGTTTTGCCCAGACTAGTTTAGAATATATGGGACATATTGTGTCCAAAGAAGTGATGTTTTGGATCTTTTGTGGTGCTAAACATAAACAAAGTTTCAACAGAATAGCCCGAACTCTGCACTGGCTTGACATTCTCAATATTAATACAAACAAAACATTAGATGGCAAACAATGCAAAAGGCAAGTGCATCAACATACAGGTATGAAATCCAAAGCTAACTGAACAAAGAAAAGAATAGTTAATTATCTATCGAGCGCTACAAAATGAAGGTTTGGCAACCGGACCCTCCCTCCCTCCTTTATTGCAAGCTAAAGTAATTCCCTTGCATGTCATATTTCAATAAAAATAGTTGAATTTCCTCATGGCATCTTTGTTGCTTATAATAGAATATAGGTAATCCAAATCCATCTGTGAGTTACGATAGAATCATAGAACCTTACTTTATAACAAAGCAAAGAAGAAAGCAGGGAACAAGTGAGAGAAAAACACAATTTTAGAGTGATGAGATCTAGGTTTTCACTAAAGGAGCTCAAGTACAGAAAATTATGTGTGTCAAGCTCTATCTCTGACCCTCTATTTAGAGGTTTGGATTGAAGCTTGAGCAACGCAAGATTAGCTACACATAAGGCTACGTAAATAAGAAATATTACAAGAATTGTGTTGCCAACTTTTATAAGACTGTACATTAATCCTTGAATTAGTTATTTATTTAGCATCTCATCTGATAAAAGTCATATCTTTCATTTAGTTAGCTAGACAAAGTTGCTGACTTCGCTAGAGAAAGTTGCTAACTTGGCTGGATAAAGTCGCTAACTTGGCTAAAGGAAGTTAGTGAATTGGCTCGAATAAATCATGAATATGGGCAATTTCTTCATAACCACCGAGATCATGAAAAGCATAAACTGAGTTGATTTATCTCAAACCAATTTTTTGAGATATTCAGCTATACATTTAATTCCTTTATTCTCTTATAAAACATTTCTTTTTAATAATTCATTCTCATTTATGTCACCCAAGAAGAGCAACAAATGATTCACTAATATTTAGTCTAGATCAATCTTGATTGTGACATTTTATACTATCCTTATGTCCACATTAGCACTTTCAAAGTCTATAAAATATAAAGTAAGCTACTCATTTGAACATTTGGATTCATATTCCTCCTTCCTCTCCTTTCAATTAAAGTTTTTCAATTCCAGTAACTGAAATAAAAGATCATTATTCCAAAAAATAAGATTAACATATCCAAAGACGTTAATGCTAGCCTTTTTGGAAAACGTAAGAAAGAAGAAGATTCTTCTGAGGAGGAGGATAGAAAGAAGGAGACATTTGAGGGAGCGAAGGAGATATCCTCTATTAAGCCTTCAACTGTCTCATATTATTTGCCCGAAATGGCAAATGAATGCTCGGTTTTTCCTGCTAAGAATTCTTTTCCTGCGACTTTTTCTCACTTTACCCGTAAAGTCGGGTACTGAGAAGATTGTTGCTAATTGTAAAGGAAAACTTTCTTGTTTGTTTGAAACTTAGATCCATTATTTTTTTTTAAATGTTTCGCAATTTGTATGGCACATGACACGGCGATTGACTATCTAGGAAAAGAAATTATGTTGACCAATCAACCTATAATGAACCGAGTGGTGATATTGGCGAGAAAGCTATCAAAGAACCAAGACCTGAAGAACTTAAAACCAATGATAGCCGGATCCCGCGACAAGAGACGATAACTGATATTAGCGTGTAAACTGCAGCGGAATCAAAAACTAGAGTAGGACAGGTGTTGTTGAAGAGCCAAGAATTGACATCGACCAGATGGCTTCAAGAGCGCGAAGAGTTGCAATCGGCAATAGACTATTACTTCTTCTACTCCACCTTAGAAAAATGTTAACCTAAATCATCTAGAGAAACCCTCATAAAATTTGGAACATATATTTTATCTCTTCCAACCTCTTGAACTGAGAAATATTATAGGGAATGAATCTCGTTAGTAATAACGTTTGCCCTAAAAATTACACGCATAGAAATATGAAAAAAGTTGAATCGGAGATTGGATAGAAAAATATATCTTCGGGGACAGAGAAGCTAACCCCATGTCCATATCGTTGTAGTCATCATCTGCCATGTTACCAATAACCTATTGCTTTCCCAAGTTCTTCCGGTCGTGCCCTGCGTTAAATTGTCGCCCAAAACCCTAGCTTCAAGCCGTCGTGACCTTAGAGGAGAAGACGATAATTATTTATATATTCACGACTAAATTAAGTAATATTTACAAATGGATCCCTAAATTCTTATTTATTTATATAATACTTGCATTTTTACATTATATTTAAAAATAAAAATATAATTGTTGCATGCTGTTATATTCTAAGTGGCAATCCAAACTTGTTTTAAATATAATGTAAAAATGCAAGTATTATATAAATAAATACACACACAAAGTTTTACTTGAAACCTAATACATAATTCACAATAAACAAAGTAGCTTGTATGGGTGTATAATATTATATGATAGTAAAATATGTTTAAAGTAAATTAAAATGATATTTATGTTATGTGTTATGACTATCAAATAGTGTTAGTATTAAACAAGTGTAAAAAATATATGCATGACAGAAATAATAATGTAAGCATTTATTTTAATATAATGTCATAAATGTAATAATATGATAAAAAGTAAATTTTAAAATTTCATTTTAGAGCTTTTCATACTTTTCTTACACCTCTTACATCTTTGCTTTCATTTATAGCTCAATTTGTTCATATTTTCCCTTTGCCCCTAATTCCTTCATTTATCTACATTTGTTCAGGCATATATTATTTGCACATATAGATGATGCACAAGTCATTAAATCCCCACTTGAATACTATAAAGTATCAACAACAAGCCAAATGCATTTTATCCTTTCTCTATATTTTCACACATTTTTAGACTGATAAACATATAAATATTACATTTTCAATATGTATAAATAGCACATTACATGTTACAAAAATATACTAATTCATATGCATGATAAAACACTAAGAGTTACATGGGGTATATTTATGTACACATTTCAACATTTACAATTTTAAAAAATCATTCATATACAATATTAACAATAATATTTTGAAGTTATTTATTGTATTATAATAATTTTGATTAGAGTTAATATATTTGTGTAAATGCTTACAATAACATATAAATTAAAATTTCGGGTGTAAAATTATATTGTATATGTTAATACGGCAAAAATACTCTACTCTACAACAAACTTAAATTTCTGCAATAAAATTATATAAAATATTTGTAGATTTGATTTTGTATAAAATTTGATAAAATGAAATATCAAAATTCACAAGAGCGATACAATTAAAGTATCAAGTAGGTTAACAATATCCCACTTTAAGTTGGGGAATTTTTTTAGCCCGACGTAGAAAATATGCTCCGAGATCTCCAACCAAGCTTCCTCTTTCGTCTCCATCTTTTTTTTCTCTTAAACTACTCATTGAACTCTATATATGGAACAACAAAAGCATAAATGTGTTTCTTGAAGTAGATTTACTTGCAATAAGGAAAATGAAGGGAATGATATATTGTTAATTACATAAATTATTTAGTTTTATTTGTAATTTGTATGTACATTTTTTTATAAGCTAAGATTAATATTTTCATCGTATCACTTTTTCTTTTAAAATCAAACAAAAAAATGTGGGCAAAAAAAGTACTCCAAAAATTTCCAAAAATTCAATATATGCTAAACAAACATATACATCTAACTGATCCAAACATGTTACTATAAGTAGTCAAATATGCTTCAATCGCTTCTTTTGGGCTTATTTGGATCAATATAAAATCATTTGTGATGTTAATGTATTGGTTTTGTTGAGATGTTCAATTTGATTATAAATTTATTAAAATTAGAGTTCGCATGATCCTGAATTTAATACCTTAAATTTTTAATTTAAATATAATATAAAAATTCATGCGGATCAAATGAAATTTTAAAATGTGTCAGTAAAGTTTAAATAATAAATACATAAAGTTAATATTTTAGATTTAATATATGCAAATCCCTCATCGAAGAATCCCATAAAATTCTAATAATTCACTAAAAAACTCATTGTTAGGACTTAGAAGTTACATTAAATTTTTTTTGTTGGGACATTTAGGCCAATTAAGATAGATTCACACACACAACATATACATAATACTCAAATTCAAGAAATTTTAATTAATAACCTAGACTTCCAACCAACAGATTAAAATGAATTATGTACATTATAAATTGATGAAATTCGTTGCGGGCTAGAATATACGCGGCGATAGAGTTGTAATTCTGCGTTTTAGCGTTGCACGGATATCCAGCTCACACACAGAGAAGACAATATTTTTTACGCAAAAAACCTTGAAAAGGGGAAAAACCATGGGGCATAGCCCAGTTGAAAAAATTTCACTAGAATTTGAGTTGATTATAGTGGGCTGACTTGTCCTTGAGGGCAATCAAATTACAAATGTCAACCGTATGGTTGAAGTCTAGTGTTAAATCTGGCGTCACTTGGAAGTTAGGGTGTCAGTTAGTAGTCTGATAGTGACTTGGTAGGACTTTGACAACAGTTGATAGTCTGGCAGAGTTTAGGGTCTCAAGTGGGGGTCTGACGGATTTCAGGCCCTGAGGTGGTGGTCCGCCAAAGGTGAGGGCCTCAAGTGGCGGTCCAACGAGGGTGAGGGACTCAGGTGGTAGTCCGACGAAGGTGAGAGCCTCAAGTAGTGATCTGGCGAGAGTGAGGGCCTCAAGTGGTGGTACGATGAGAGTAAGGGCCTCGAGTGGTGGTTTGGCGAGGGTGAGAGCCTCGAGTGGTGGTCAGACTAAGGTGAGGGTCTCCACTGGTGGTCCGGCAAAGATGAGGGTCTTGAGTGATGGTCCGACAATGGTGAGGGCCTCGAGTGGTGGTCCGATGAGGGTGAGGGCCTCGAGTGGTAGTCCAACGATGGTGAGTGCCTCGAGTGGTGGTTGAGCGAAGGTGAGGGCCTTGAGTGGTGGTCCGGGGAGGGTGAGAGCCTCGAGTGGTGGTTCAACTAGGGCGAGGATCTCCAGTGGTGGTCCGACGGAACTCAGGCGGTGGCCGAAGAGGAGCAAGGAGACAATAATGATCTTTGATCTCTCTCTTTAAATCCTTAAGCTTGGGGTCCTTTTTCAAGAGAAATGATGGGTCTATTTATAGATTTTTGGAGCGGCATGGCCCGTAAATAGGTGAGATATTAAGGGTAAATGGTGAGTGGTTGGATGGACGAATGATGTTGAATCCCTTGATCATGGACCGTTTGATGAACATTTGAATGTCTTAGTGATGTCATAATTTGGTGATCTTAGGCTCCTTGGATTCATCTCGTCGAGCCGCTTGATTCGACTATAAGCATGTTATGTTTGGAAACTATTTGGTAATCCAAATTGTGGTTCGAACATTCCAATAACGCTTATAACCCTTGATTAGGACCCGTTTGGGCTCGGATTGGGTTGGATTTGGTGTTGTGGGTTCTTATTCTCGAGGTGCTCAGTTTGACTATAAGTTTGTTGAAATCGAAGTTCGGATGGACCCAATTTTAATTTTAGAAGTTTCCAACTTGATTTTGCATCGAGATTGGTGCCCAATTAAAATAATTTTTTGATGACATATCAAGACTATAGTTTTGAACTCTTTGATTGCAACGAGAGGCCATAGATATATGTTCAAAAATTACTGCACCCGCATCCCAGAATTTTGTGACTGTTTACTGGATATCTTTTCTCAACCCAATGTTAGCAGCCCTCTCTATGACTTCACTTTCAAAATGAAATCCCTCAAGAACATGCTCAAGCAAAAAAACTAGTCCAATGCTAACAACATTCAAAGGGATATTGAAACTCTTTCTGAGCTTCAAAATGCTGCTGTAAGGCAAATTCAGTACAATCCTCTTGATTCGTCTCTAAATGACAATCTTAAGACTATAAACTCCAAACTCATTTTCTACCAAACCACAATTTTTTGATTGGATGGCACAAAGAGCCAATGTTAATTGGCTTACTCAAGGGGAGGATGATCTTAAGTTCTTAAACTCTAATATCAATGCAAATAAGAACCATGCCCATATTAAAGAGCTATCCACTAATCATGGTGTCCTTACTGAGCATCAAGACATTTCTCTTGAATTTATTAACCACTTCACTAAGCTCTTTAACCCCACTAGAACCACTACCCAATTACACCACACCCCCATTGGGAATGTTATCCCTAACCACCTTATTTCTCCCCTCACTGATCCTGTTACTGAAGAAGAAATTAGTCACATCATTTTTTATGGGAAGAAGAATTCGGCCCCGGGACCTGACGGTTTCACGTTCGAATTTTACAGGGCTACCTGGACCACCATTAAGCATCAAGTTTGTAAGGATGTAAGTTATTTTTTTACATATTGTCATATGCCTAAGCAAATTAAATCCACTGCCATTGTGCTCATCCCCAAGCTTCCTCATGCCAACGCCGTCAAGAATTTTAGGCCCATTTCCCTTTGCAATGTTATTTATAAGGTTATTGCAAAAATCATTGCTAATAGGATGAAAACTGTTATGCCATCTATCATCCATCATAGTCAAAGTGGTTTCATACAGAAGAGAATGATTTATGATAATATCATTCTAGCTTCTGAGATTTTGGGCAAATTCAATCAGAAAAATAGCGAGAAGCTTTTATGTGCTAAATTTGATATCACCAAGGCATTCGATACGATATCAAGAGATTTTCTTTATAAAAGGTTGTCTGCGAAGGGGTTTCCTGATCTTTTTATTGATTGGATTAAAGCTTGCACTTCAGAAGTTTATTTTTTTGTATGTATTAACGGTTCTCTTGAGGGTTATTTCCAGTCCAGGTCTGGCCTCAGACAGGGCTGTCCGCTGTCTCCTTACTTGTTCAGTATTGTGATGGATGCTCTCTCCAATTCCATTAAAGAGGTCATCTCTAACTCTACCTTTGCTGCTGTCACTTCTGGTAATTATGTGGTTTCTCACTTGTTATTTGCTGATGACCTCTTGGTGTTTGGTTCGGCTAATACTGAGAATGCTATCACTCTTAACAAGGTTTTTGAGCAATTTGGTGACACCACTGGTTTATGTATTAACCCTCTTAAAAGCATAATCCTTGTTTCTAAAGACAGCCCGCAAGCTCCTGCTATATGTGACATCCTTCATATTAAGCATTCCACAACCCCTATCACCTACCTTGGACT